GGGCCCTTTGGGGGCCCCACCGCGCGAAGCAACCCTAGAGACGGGCCCGAGTCCCAAAACCGTGTGGTGATCCCGATTCCCCACTGACTCACCACGCGGCATGGTCACCACAGCGTTTGTCGGGAGCGGCCAAGAGGGGGGTGTCCAGGAGGCGGGGGTGCAAATCGTGACCGGCGGCAGCGGGGGGGTCAGGGACGTCATGAAATGAGAAGAGGCGCTCTGAGATCTGGGGGAATATATCATGGCCCACGCCATGGTATCCCCTCCCCCCCAATCTTATGTCGGGCGTGTCCCCCTAAAGGGGGATTTTCGACGAAAAATAAAATATACCCCAGAAATGCACCAGAAAGGTCAAGCAATAATAAAAAAATAGTCCCCATATTATTTGTTGGACTATTGTTTGACTATTTTTTGTTTTCCGTCGAAAATCCCCCTGTACGGGGGACAGGCCCGACTTAACCCTAGTCATCACCCCCCCTCTTTGCCGCCCCCGAGCTCGGGGGCCCCCCGTCTCCTCCGAGCCGGGCTCGGCCCGGGCGGCCCGGGCGGGACGTGGAGCGCTCCGCCTTCCCCCGGCCGGGCGGCCAGCTCGACGAGGGCCGAAGAGAACACATGGGCTTGACCACACCCCCCTCTGCGGGACTGGAAAATGACCATAGCCACTGCTTCTTGTTTGCGCCACCTTCCAGCCGGCCAAAAAAGAAGCAGGGGTCGTGGTCATTTCCCTGGTGCCAAGCTTAACGAAAATGACCACAACCACTGCCTTGATTCTGCTGGCTGGAAGGCGGCAACAAAAGAAAAGCGGTGGCTGTGGTCGCTTTCACGCCCGGTACCCCTCCCCTCTCTGGGGGGGGGGCCCCATCCCAGACCCCCAAGGTTGTGATCTTCTTCATAGTGTCGACCCCCAGAGGTCTGGACCCCCTCCCTGGGACCGGCTTCTCATCCTGAGTCGCTTCCTGAAGCCCGGGTAGGGCCCACAGAGGCTGAAAATAGAGCGAAAAGCCGCCCGCCGCGATGTTGTTCACAACGAGAGGGGGGTCTGGGATTGGCGGCTCGAAAAGGGCACCCAGAGGCTTGACACACACCCTCAGGGAAGGCAGCGGCCCCTCTCCCCTCTCGCTCCCCTCTTGCCATGTGTGGGCAGGGTCTGCTTGCCCAGGCTGGGCGGCACGAGGCAAGCCTGGCCAGCCTGGCCGCCCAGAACGCCGACGCCGTGCTTGGGAACCACGGGGGGCCCCCAAAGGTCTTGACCTTCTCCTTCTGGGGGGCGTCCAAGGAGGGGGGCGCCCAAGACGGGAGGCGCAAATCATGGCAGGCGGCACGCGCGCGGCGCCAAGGGGGTCGGGGACCTATTGAGACAAGAGGAGGCGCCGTGAACTCTTGGGATATCTCCTGGCCCCCGCCATGAGATCGCCCCCCCTGAATCACCACTCAAGTGGCCCAGGGACACACAAATGAATGTACACAAATCGCAGGATTCCCCATATTTTCATATATTTTCTGGGTTTTTGTCTTCCCCCCACTTCCCATATTTTCCCACATTTTCCTGGAACGCGACGCTGTGTGTTCTTTCCTCTCCGACCTTCCCCGGGGGCGGGTCCTTCCACTTGACGGTCCCGGGGCGGCGGAGGCCTCCTGCCAAGGCCGACGACGGCCAGCCAGACCTGCTGCCGCAGTGCTGGAGGCCCCCTTGACCCTCAAAGGTCTCTGGAGCACCCCCAAGAATAGAAACGAGGCATCTTTTCGACGCCCTTATTGACGGACTGGGGCCCCACAAAAAAGGGAACACCGTGATTTCCCCGCGGCACCCTTCGCGCAACAACGACGACGAAGACGACGACGACGACGACGACGACGAGATGAAAGAGGAGACTGTGAGCAACGCCTTCGGCGAAGAATGTGTCGATCTACTATTGCAATCATCTTACAACAGTGCTCAATCTTGCTCTATCGCGCAAGGTAGCCCAGGGAACAATATTCCATGGGAGGCAGAAGCCCCAAACATTATTCAGCCCGCCCAACAAATAGAGGGGAAAGAATATGCGCCGCAACTACGACGACGACGACGACGCTAACGACTATGACTAAGATTACGACTACGACTACAACCGCGACAACGATTACCACTACAATCACGGCACCAATCACGATTACAATCGGAATTGCAACCACAACCACAAACACGACTACAACCACAACCACTGATTCTTATTGCCATCCAAATGAAGAGATGCTCACGAATCCTCTCGCGTGTAGGGTGGCCCACAATGGATGACTCCCTGCTGGAAAACCCAATATTATCCAACCCGCCTAACAATAGAGGGAAACTAATCCCGCCGCGGGGACGACGCCGACGACGAAGATGTCGGGAGGATGAGGAGGAGGAGGAGGAGGAGGAGGAGGAGGAGGAGGAGGAGGAGGAGGAGGAGGAGGAGGAGGAGGAGGAGGAGGAGAGGAGGGGCGAGTTTGTTCCCCGCCGAGAGAATCAGACCTCCTGAGGTTGGATGGGGTCCGAAACGATGGGGTCGGAGGATTGCACCAGGTCGCCGATGTATCGCCGATGCATCGGCGATGCACCGACGATGCATCGGCGATGCATCGACGATGCATCGTCGACGTCGGCGTGGCGAAATCGTGCTCCACATCGAGCTCCATCGCCGATGCATCGGCGATGCGGCGAGATCCTCCGAGCCCATCTATTCGGACCCAACCTGGGAGGCCTACAGGTGCTCTTCTGCACGGCACGAGGAGGCGGGGGGGCCAGACTTCGAGTAGGGGATCGACTACAGAATCGATCTACCCCAAGATTGGTTTTCTCGTCGAACCTGCGAATCATTTGCAGAAGTCTCCGTCGATTGCCGAACATTCTAGGCCTTCGCCGTAGCTTCGAGGGAGAATCAATTCTGGGGTAAATAAATTCTGTAGTCGATCCCCTACTCGAAGACTGTTTGCCCCCCCCCCGCCGAGCGCTGGGGTGGCCCCGCGTCTCCGCCCTTGGGCGCCCGCAGCCGCAACCTCTCCCACGAGGCTCGACGCCGCGAGCAAGGTGCGGTCGGACCGAGGCATGAGCTCGAGGTCGGTTCGGGGAGGGCACCCTCCTCCTCCTCCTCCTCCTCCTCCTCCTCCACCTCCTCCTCCTCCTCCTCCCCCTCCTCCTCCTCCTCCTCCTCCTCCCCCTCCTCCTCCTCCTCCTCCTCCTCGTCGGCGTCTTGACTGCACCTCTGCTGGACTCCCTGCCGCCTGCGATCCAGGGCGCACGACCTGTGCTCTCGGAGGCCCGAGCCCGGAGCCTCTCCCGTGTCTGCGGGGTATCCTTTTGCGCATCCTGTGGGGAGGGGCGTCCTCTCGAACGTGCCTTCGGCTTGGGCCGGCGGGGGTCTCGTGCTCTCGGAAGAGGTTCCTTCTGCCCCGAGTCGGGATGTGCGGTTCGGTCGGGCGTGCCCCCCTGCAGGAGGATCTTGGACGAAGAACTCAACACAGTCACACAACATACCCCCAAAAATGGTCAAACAACATACGCACCATCGTTCCCATACTATGTTTTGACTGTTCCTGAATGTTCCTCCTGTAGAGGGGCGTGCCCGACTTCTTAACTGTGCGGCAGCGCCGCGACGGGTCACGAGCGGAGCCCTCGACCCGGCCTGCCTGCGGCAGTCTTCGAGCCGCGTCGACCTGTGACGGCCCTGGGGCCCGCAGCCCGGCGAACTCTCGCCGTCGCTCGGACGTCCACTTCCCGTGCATTTCTCGGTTTCGTGCGTGTGTTTTTTGCTCGATGGTCGAGGATGGTCCTCGATGGTTCTCGCCGGCGAAAAATGCACACGTCCGAGCGATGCCAAGAACTCGTCCGCTGCGAGCCCCACGATCCGATGCAGCGGCTTCTTCGCTGCGCGGCCCCTGGACGGCCCGACCCTTTCCCCCCATGTTGGAGGCACAAGGACATAGCACTGCACGTCCTCCTTGGAGGCGCGCGTCCGACCCGAACATATCGTATACCCATCTTCTGGTAGATCGTTTCCCGAGCGGCACGGCCAGAAAGCGCCCGACACGACGCATACACTACTAGATTTCTCGGTGCGCACGTCGCCCTGGGGGGGGGGGCGACGCACATATAGTATAATGATGCCGGGGTGACGCCGACCCCGGGCCGGCTCTTCGTCCCGAGCAGTTCTCTGAGGGTCCTGGGGCACGCACGGGTTCCCAGCTGCCGAACACTGCGAGCAACCTCAGAATCCGATTCTTCAGTACGTCCGAAATCTGGGGAAAGCTTGCAACGCCCGGATCTCAGGGTCCAGCAAGGGACCGGAGGAATAAGAAACATCTGGACGGCTCAAGTTGGTGATTAAACTGGTCCGTCGACTCCCTGAGACTGCTTCAGAATATTGAAGATGAATTGCGCAACGGCTGCCAACTTTTCAAACCTGGCCTTCTTCTCGTTATCTCTATTTTTTGTTGCTGTTGTTGTTGTTGTTGTTGTTGTTGTTGTTGTTGTTGTATTTGTTGTTGTTGTTGTTGAACATTATTTCTTCTTAAGAATAATTATTGTTGGGACCCCTGGTGCACGACCCCCCCGCCGCGCCTAGGCCGCAGCCACATTTTCATCATTTTCGTGAGGAAGTCTCAGGCAAAACGATTGGTACCGGATCCGGTTGTTTTGTTGACGCTCGTTTTCCCTTGCAAAAAACATCATAAAATGAAAATTCTTGTTCTTACTTGATCAAATTGCAAGAATCCCTTGCAAAAAATAAGGTAAAGTGGACATTCGTGCGCGCAAGACGAAATCCTTCCAAAACCTTAGGTTTCGTAGCGATTTTAACATAAAAACATCAAAAACCCAATGGTTTTTTAAGAAAAAATTGTCAAAATGTCCTTCCGCGCGCGCTGTCCGAATCCCACAAAACCAATGGTTTTTCAACATTTATGTTACATGAGCTCGCGCGAGCTACTTTTTCTTGTTCTAACATAATCAAATTTCAATAATCCCTTGCAAAAAATAAGGTAAAGTGGACATTCGCGCGCGCAAGACGAAATCCTTCCAGAACCTTAGGTTTCGTAACGATTTCAACATAAAAACATCAAAAAGCCAATGGTTTTTCAAAAAAAAATGTCCAAATTTCATCCCGCGCGCGCTGTCCGACTCCCACAAAACCAATGGTTTTTCAACATTTATGTTACATAAGCTCGCGCGAGCTACTTTTTCTTGTTCTTACATAATCAAATTTCAACATCCCTTGCAAAAAAAAGTAAAGTGGACATTCGCGCGCGCAAGACCAACAAAAAACACGACGATCTCAGGAACTTGCCCCAAAAATGTGACCAACTCCGCTCTCTCTGTCTCTCTCTCTGTCTGCTCTCTGTCTCTCTCTCTGTCTGTCTGTGTCATGTATTGTATGTCACAATTGCAGGATGCTGGGCACACGCGCGCCCCGAATAAGTGACCAAGTTCTGTGGGTGTGTACCCCACGCCAGTGTAGTAGCCACGGTCGTCCGCACGCCACGAAGTGAAGTGTCCCAACGTCATAGGGCGGGAAGCTGGGTTTGGGTGGTCGCGAAGAGTCGTTTGGATATTTGGTAGAGCTTGAACTGCCCCCCCACGAAGTGGGGGTATTGTCTCGCGTCGCATGAAAACCCTGGCACTGGTGAGAACACTGAGCGTTCGGGTAAAATGATTGTTGTTGTTGTTGTTGTTGTTGTTGTTGTTGTTGTTGTTTCTTCTTTTTCTGCTTCTTCTTCATCATCGTCTTTCCCACGTGCCCACAGGGACCAGCCGCACGGGTGCGCGACAAAATGCCCCCGCGCGCTGCGCCACCCGCTGGGGCTGTTGTTTTTGTGTCTCGCCTGGGCCGCTGCCTGGGCCGGCCAAGCCAAGCACGCTGCCGCGCGCTCGTTGACGAGCCCCCAGGGGAAGCAAGGCCACGACGACGTGACGGTGCTGGCGGCGACGGCAAATCTCCTCCTCCTCCTCCTCCTCCTCCTCCTCCTCCTCTGCCTTTTCTTCCTGTTCCTCCCTGTACTCCTCCTCCTCCTCCTCGTCCTCCTCCTCCTCCTCCTCCTCCTCCTTCTCCTCTGGGTACGCGGCTCCTCGTCCTCCAGCTTGCCGATCATGTCGGAGATGAGACCCTTGAGCCGCCACCCCGTCGCCGGCGGGATCCCTCGGCGTGCCCTTTTCCAGGATGCCGCTCGAAGAACAAAGCGCGGCCTAATTGCGAGATCGCCCAACACATGGCGGATCTGGAGTCACGGCGGTGCCTTTCCGTGGCGCGGGGAACCACTAAAATCAATACATACACATCAACGTTCGGATGTCCGCACGGATGCCTCGGATTGGCGCTGGCTCCCATCGGCAGCCCCTGTTGCGCCGCCCCTAGCGCGCTTCGCGCACCACGGAAAGGGGGGTACAACGCCGAACCAAGAAACCAGCGCAAACCTCAACATTGTCATGTTTACGTCAATATTTTTCCCCCGGATCATAGAAAATCCGGTCCTGACTCCGGATCAACAACGTGTTGGGCGAGTTCAGAAGTATAGGGCGGACGCCTCCGCATTAAATTTCGAGCTCTTTTAACGTCGAGTTCCGCCCTGATGTGCCGTCGCTGTTCCTGCCATGCTGTTGTGAAAATGTCCGCTCTTTGTTTTCCAGCGCGGGGGTTCTTCAAACCGTATTATTCCGCATAAAGTGAAATGCGTTTCCAACAAAAAGGCTTCAACCAAAGGATTCTGCAGCGGGCTGACCGACTGACCGACTGTTGAATTGCATCCCTGGCGGACGCGCTGCCATAATCAAACTTCAGCGTACCTGTGTCAAAACATTGCATACGTACACGACGTGTCATAATCTGAAGTTGCCCGCTGATGTAGGGCGCCATCGGCGGCTGTGGCGATCCAGCTTTTTAGCCGTGCCGTCACCATTGCACACCATGTATATCAAAACGACCCGTCGGCCTCAGAGACAACGTTGTTGGATCTTTGCGCTTGGCGACCCCGCGACGTTGACGCCAACGTTTGTTGCTTATTCCATGTGTGTGTCAATACCGTCGAATGTCTGGCGCGGTGAACGCAATGCCGAAGCACCCGTTAACTTCTGAACGCAACGTTTGCAGCGGAATGCGTCGATAATGATTCTGTATTGTTTCATGGGCTACAACGCGCCCAATGAGCTGAACAACTTTCTGAACACGCGCGTGCTGCACTGTCGAACACAAACATCGTAATGGCAACAGTTGGATAGCGAATGAACTCACGCAGCTCTATCTTCGATGAACCTCAATGGCGGCGCGAATGCGATGCAAAAATGATGGGTGACGTGACGGCGATGCCCCTTTTAATGGGTGGCGGGGCCGGGGGCCCTGTGCGCAGGGCGCGTGCCAGTCCCAGGAACTCGATGCCCCAAGGTGGTTGCGGGCGTGTTCTTCTGAGGCGGCCGAACGCCTGAGCCCAAATGGCCACAGACGTCGGGCTGGGGCGAAAGTGCACACTGGCGCTGGCACGCGCGAGCGCATCCTCGATAAGCCCTGGCAGCGGTGCGACAGCGGTAAAAAATGGCCGAGGCGACGGCGGTGCCCCTCTTATGGTTGGCGGTGCCGGGGGCCCCGTGCGCAGGGCGCCTGCCATTCCCAGGAACTTGATGCCCCCTCCCCGCGATGGGAGTGGCACGCCACTAGAAACCAGGAGGGGGGAGGTAGGAGACCCAGACGTGGTGAGGGGGATGCACTGCGAGCGTCGGGGGGCCGAACGCCTTTCCACCTCGCTCCGTCTTCCCGTTCTTTTACGACACCGTCGCCACTGCGCGCCGGTCGCACACGCACAAGGGGGCGAGAACGCGGTCTCGAAGCCCTGCTCCGCCTCCATGGGGTCCTCCGCGGCTGAGGCCCTCCTCTCCCGCCAGGACCCCCGCCCACGCCTGCGGCGGAACGGCGAGGGTCCCCGAAAGGACGGACGGGGGCCCCTCCACTCGGCAGACGCGCGCGGACCAATTCCCAGCATACAGCAGACGCAGACAGAGAGACATACAGATGCACAGTCACACAGACGAACACACATTACCCCCTCCCAAAAAACAATTACACCTGAGAAAACCCAATCAGTGGATGACTTGGAAATTGATATTATCGAGCTTGAGATCGGTTGTGAAATCGATAATGAGATCGATCGTGGAACCGATAGTGAGGACGATTGCAATGTCGATCGTGAGACCGAGAGTGAAATCGATCCAATGAGATCGATAGTGAGATCGATCGCGAGATCGCTCATGCGATCTCTAGTAAGATCGCTTGTGATATTGGTATTGAGATCGATGGTGAGATCGATCGAAGAATCGGTAATGATATCGATGGTGAGACCGATCGATAAAACATCGACCAGGAACCCGGGACCCCGGGAACCTCACCGCCCTCCGACATCGGCCGGGAATCCGGAACCGGGAACCCGGAAACCCGGAACTGGGAACCAGGGAACCAAGCGTGCGACCAAAAAAACGGCGGGGCACTTTCGCCAAATCCTTCAACATCCGCGAGGACCCCTTCAGTGCAAGCGCTGATTGGGGGAACACACGCACAAACACGTACACACGTACACACGTACACACGTACACACGTACACACGTACACACACAACACACACACACAACACACACACACACGCGCGCGCGCACGCACGCACGCACGCACGCGCGCTCACGCGCTCGCACGGTCATCTCACGCGGGCGCCAGCACTGGTTTCAGCTCGAACGTTATACGATTCCATATGGCGAAACCACCTCCGATAGGGAATGCAAACGTCTGTTGCGCTTCCAATCGGCCACGCATTTGAAGCTCCCGTTCTCCGAAGCGATGATTTAGGCTGGCCGTGCCGGGAAATCACAATTTCAGTGTCGCGCGACGCGCATGCGACGTTGCGCCCTTTGGAACCCCCGTGGGAGCTCGCTGATCACGCGTACGCCTTCCGTTTGCTTCTGCCCACCCCCTCGAGCGGGCGAGACGCTGGGAACTCTGCCCCCTGTGTGGTGCGGGGTGCGCCCCTGCGCAGCCTCCGCCCGACGCTGGCCGCAAGTCTCCGTTCCGCTGCGTGCGCCCTTTGGAGCGCTGGGAGCTTGAGTTACGGTCGAATGCCATATGTTGAGCAGAGACCGACCGTCCTGGCATTCCTATTGGCCTACCACAAAATATTCTTAGAACCCAGAGATGTTCGGATAACCACAACAACAACGTTCTTAGACCATAAGCCCGATGCGTTAAAACAAGACAGCCCCAGCCAGAAAAGTTCGAATCACATTTCGTGCAGACCACAAACTGTGGTTAGAGCATTCTTGGGTAGGCCTATAGGAAAGCCCGGACGCTTCGCCACTGCTTGACTACGGAGATCTCGAATCCCATACGGAGAACATTGCAGGGTTGAGAGCCCACACACGAAGAACAGAAGGGCGCCCTGCCAACGCCAGAGCTGCTCTGATGACCCGCACGCCAGCTGTATGCGTGCGACTGCAAGCAATACCTCCGAGTCGGGGGCGTCCAAGACGGGGGGGTCGCAAATCATGGCCCGAGGCATGCGCGCGGACGAGGGGGGGGGCGCAGGGAACTTAACGGGCGAAGAACGGTATAAATAAACTTGTTCGCCGTCGGGGACACCTGCCCCAAGGCGGCTGTAAAGTTTATACCCTTACGGTGGCACCGTAGGGGTATAAACTTTCCAGCCGCCCAAGGGCAGGTGTCCCCGACGGCGATTATTCCGGCAAAGCAACCTAACAGCGATGTGTAGGAGCATATCTGGAAGCATTCCCCTTAAGATTCAGGTGAGAATCCAGTTGTAGAATTCTGCTGTTCTCGCAGTCGCAGTCGCATTCGCGATGACAGTCGCAGTGGCAACAGCAGTCAGCAGCCTCAGCCTCAGCCTCAGCCTCAGCCTGCCTCAGCCTCAGCCTCAGCCTGCCTCAGCCTCAGCCTCAGCCTGCTTCAGCCTCAGCCTCAGTCTGCCTTCAGCCTCGGCCTCAGCCTCAGCCTGCCTCAGCCTCAGCCTGCATCAGCCTCAGCCTCAGCCTCAGCCTGCCTCAGCATCAGCCTGCCTCAGCCTCAGCCTCAGCCTCAGCCTCAGCCTGCTTCCTCAGCCTCTGTCAGCCTCAGCCTCACCTCAGCATGCCTCAGCCTCACCTGCCTCAGCCTCAGCCTGCCTCAGCCTCAGCCTGCCTCAGCCTCAGCCTGCCTCAGCCTCAGCCTCACCTGCTTCAGCCTCAGCCTCAGTCTGCCTTCAGCCTCGGCCTCAGCCTCAGCCTGCCTCAGCCTCAGTCTGTCAGCCTCAGCCTCAGCCTGCATCAGCCATCAGCCTGCCTCAGCCTCAGCCTGCCTCAGCCTCAGCCTCAGCCTCAGCCTGCCTCAGCCTCAGCCTCAGCCTGCTTCAGCCTCAGCCTCAGTCTGCCTTCAGCCTCGGCCTCAGCCTCAGCCTGCCTCAGCCTCAGCCTGCATCAGCCTCAGCCTCAGCCTCAGCCTGCCTCTCCTGCCTGCCTCAGCCTCAGCCTCAGCCTCAGCCTCAGCCTGCCTCAGCCTCAGCCTCAGCCTGCCTCAGCCTCAGCCTCAGGCCTTCAGCCTGCCTCAGCCTCAGCCTGCCTCAGCCTCAGCCTCAGCCTCAGCCTGCCTCAGCATTCAAAATGTGGCCCGGGAATGGAGTTCTGGGAACTCGAAGAACACGAAGTGGCCTACAGTTGGCTCCGGGCATTCAAAATCATGCCCAGGAATGGAGTTCTGGGAACTCGAAGACCACGAAGTGGCCTACAGTTGGCTCCGGGCATTCAAAATCATGCCCAGGAATGGAGTTCTGGGAACTCGAAGACCACGAAGTGGCCTACAGTTGGCTCCGGGCATTCAAAATCATGCCCAGGAATGAGTTCTGGGAACTCAAGACCACGAAGTGGCCTACAGTTGGCTCCAGGCATTCAAAATCATGCCCAGGAATAGAGTTCTGGGAACACGAAGAGGCCAAAGTGGCCTACAGTTGGCTCCGGGCATTCAAAATGTGGCCCGGGAATGGAGTTCTGGGAACTCGAAGAACACGAAGTGGCCTACAGTTGGCTCCGGGCATTCAGAATGCGACCCGGGAATGGAGTTCTGGGACCTCGAAGACCACGAAATGTGTAACTGTTCGCTTCCTGCCTGGACCCCCCTGGGGAGCCACTAGAAACCTATCAGTCTTCGCTGTTAGGTAAATTATCCCCACAAAGCAACCTAACAGCGATGTGTAGGAGCATATCTGGAAGCATTCCCTCTAAGATTCAGGTGAGAATCCAGTTGTAGAATTCTGCTGTTCTCGCAGTCGTAGTCGCATTCGCGATGACAGTCGCAGTGGCAACAGCAGTCGCAGTCACAGCCTCAGCCTCAGCCTGCCTCAGCCTCAGCCTCAGCCTGCCTCAGCCTCAGCCTGCCTCAGCCTCAGCCTCAGCCTGCTTCAGCCTCAGCCTCAGTCTGCCTTCAGCCTCGGCCTCAGCCTCAGCCTGCCTCAGCCTCAGCCTGCATCAGCCTCAGCCTCAGCCTCAGCCTGCCTCAGCATCAGCCTGCCTCAGCCTCAGCCTCAGCCTGCCTCAGCCTCAGCCTCAGCCTGCTTCAGCCTCAGCCTCAGTCTACCTTCAGCCTCGGCCTCAGCCTCAGCCTGCCTCACCCTCAGCCTGCCTCAGCCTCAGCATCAGCCTGCCTCAGCATTCAAAATGTGGCCCGGGAGTGGAGTTCTGGGAACTCGAAGAACACGAAGTGGCCTGCAGTTGGTTCCGGGCATTCAAAATGAGGCCCAGGAATAGAGAGTTCTGGGACCTCGAAGACCACGAAGTGGCCTACAGTTGGCTCCGGGCATTCAAAATGTGGCCCGGGAATGGAGTTCTGGGACCTCGAAGACCACGAAGTGGCCTACAGTTGGCTCCGAGCATTCAAAATGTGGCCCGGGAATGGAGTTCTGGAACTCGAAGAGCACGAAGTGGCCTACAATTGGCTCCGGGCATTCAAAATGTGGCCCGGGAATGGAGTTCTGGGACCTCGAAGACCACGAAATGTGTAACTGTTTGCTTAAAACGACTTCCGCGGATTCTCTCCGGCACCCGTCCGGCATCTGCCCAGACCCCCCTGGGGCGTCATGATGCTCTCTTTTGAGCCTACTAGAAACCTATCAGTCTTCGCTGTTAGGTAAAAAGTTTGTTTTATACCGTTCTTCGCTCGCTGAGGAACGCATTGGAGTATGAAGAGGGGCCATGACACCTGGAGAGCTGCAACGAGATCCCCACCCCTCATCATACCCGCGGGCCGTCGACTGGCCGACGCGATCCTCGGGCAAACATGGGCTCTGCCAGCCTCGGCGGTGCGAGGTGGCGGGCGCCCTGGGAGCAGCCAGGGCCAGCTTTAGGTCGGGCATTGTCCCCCTACAGGCGGACTTTGGATGACATATCAGATATTCCAAAATCGAATCCCCAAATCCGTGGACACAGTGCAAACATCGGCCCCAGACATTTTTGTTTCCCTGTTTTTGAGTACTCCTCGATCCTGTAGAGGGACACGCCCGACTTCAGGCCAGCTCAGGCCAGCCCAAAGCCTCAACGGTGCTGGTGGGATTGCTTGTGCTAACTCCCACCCCGCCCGGCCCCTAGGCCGAGCCTGGATCGGCGGACATTTCTCCGAGTCGGTCTCGGGCCGGGGGCTGGGCGGGATGTGCAGCGCTCCCCCTGTCTCAGCCAGGCCAGCTCGACAAGGTCCCAAGGGAACCCAGAGGCTTGACCACGCCCCCTCCCCTCTGGCAGAATCCAAGACGCGCTCGTCAAAAAACGTCGCAAACCCGAGGTCTGGCTTACTCGAGTCTTACGTTCCCCCGAGAGAAGGGCGGCCCCCTCAGATTGAGCAGGGGCCGACCGTCCCGGCATTCCTGTAGGCATACCACGCAATTTTCATAGAGCCCAGAAATGCTTTAAGATCCACATGAGCCCGACGAGTTGAAACAAGACAGTCTCAGCCATATATGTTCTACGTGCGTGCGTTTCGCGCAGACCACCAACAAATTCTTACAACATGCTTTGGTAGGCTTATGAGCAAGCAAGCCAGTCCGCTTCGCCGCTGCTTGATCAGACCATGCGGGTCTGACTTGCGTGTGCGAACATAAAAACTTTGCACTCGACCATGGACACCCTGTAACCACCCCCTCGGCCTTAGGCAATCTTCGGCCGTTTTCTGACGGCCTCCTGGGGCTTTCGGTGCTCCTCCCACGGTCTTCCGCGATCGTGGGCGGTCTTCTGCCGGACTTCGGCGGATCTCGGTGGTCTGCGGCGGTTTCCAGCGGTCCTCGGCGAGGAATCTGGGCGGTTGCGTTCAACGAGGGGTCCAGGATCGAACAACGAAAAGAAATTCGCCTGCCCAACGTGCCAAGTGCGTGCTAAGATCTCCGGTAACTGGTTAACAGCATTTCACATTCGCGCGCGCGGGTCCACGCCTGGGAATCCCCTGACGATCCCAAGAGAGCTCCAGGAGCGCGTCAAGTGGCCTCCAAGAGAGCTCAACATGGTTCGAGACGTTCCAAGAGCGAAGATGGCCTCCAGAGAGCCTTCAAGACGCCCCAAGAGACCTCCAAGAGACCTCCAAGAGACCTCCCAAGAGGGCCCACAGAGGCAGAAGTTATCGTTTTTTCTATACTTTTTGAAGGTTTTTGGCGTTCTCGCCTTTTCGGCATACCGGCGCTCCAAGACGGCCCAAGAGACTTCCAGGATCGCCCCAACACGGCCCAAGCGCCCAAGACGGCCCCAGAGGGCCCCAATACAGCCCCAGAGGCCGAAGAGGCTCTCAAGACGGCTCCAAAAGCGGGCCCAGACGAGGGACCTGAACGGACATGTTGAGCTCTAGGCGCAGAGAGGTCCCCTGGAGGCCCCAAGAGGCCCCCAACAAGCCCCCGAGAGGCCCCCGAGAGGCCCCCGTGGCGCCCCAGGAGGTCCCAGAAATACCGCCAAGAGGCCCCAAATGAGGCTCCAAGAAACCCACAAACAGCCCCCCAAAGGCCACGAACGCGCAGGCAAACGCCTGCGCCGGCACCATCCGGGCCGGCGGAGTGAGCGAAGCGATTCAATAATGAAAGATGCGGGCCACGAGGGAAACTCGGGGGCGTCCAAGAGGGGGGGGCGCAGACCATGGCCGGCAGCACGTGCGCGGCCCAGGGGGAGGGCCAGGGACGCGTTGAGATAAGAAGAGGCGCTATGACATCTGGGGAATTTTCATGCCCTCGGCCATAAGATCCCCCCCCCTCGTCATCATCACCCTCCTCGTGGCCGCTCCCGACAAACGGGTCCGGGACTTCGGGGCGCTTCCCCGGGGGCCACCCCTGCCCCCGGAGCCGTTGCTCGCCGGCCCCGGGGGCCAGGGCACGGCCTCTCGAGGCTGAAAGCGGCCCCCACTTCTCTTCGTGCTTCCCTCGGGGCCCCTGTCCTTCTGGTGGCGGCCTGTGGAGCTCCACGAGGCTCCCGCCACGCACCACGCCCCGCCCGCGCGCCGCGCGTGCTCTTTCAGGCCCGCGAGGCCACCGGCCATTCCTGCAGTCCTCTGCGGCTGGGGCTGATGTACAGTCAAAACGTATATGAAGGACGGGTGGTAAGGACGCAAGACCATTGGAGGCCGAAGTTGGGATTATTTGGGCGGCGGGCGACCAATGAAAACGGCAGAGGACGGGCCGCAGAGGCAAGAACACAAGGGTCCCCCAGATGAAGGCGCGCGTCCTTACTAGGCGCGTTGGCTGTACATGTCCACCGCCTGGAGAACCGATCTGCCTTGACCCCCGGAGGCAGCGGATGCTGACTTTGTCGGCCCCCTTGGAGCCGACGTATATCCAGATCCACCAGCCCCTGGGGTCCTCGGAGATCGGCCCCCCAGGCGGCGCAGATGCAGGCGGCCCTGGCAGCGCCGTGATGCCCCCCTGTGATGCAATCGACGCCCCTCTCTGCAGCAGGTTCGTGTCGTGACGGCCCGCGTTTTGGTTTCTAACACCGCGTGGACCGCTCAACCCTGAACGAGTGCGGTTTTCCGAGAGCGCAGATCGCTCGATATCGGCCGACTCCGAACCACTTGCGGCGTTTAACTTTCAACGCTCTCGCTGGGGTCGCCACCGCATCGACACGACAAGAACCTATCGTACACAAGGACGCCTGGCTTGAATACCAACCGAATCAAGACGTCGTTGAAGGGGCGGCCGGAATGAACCGGCCAGCACACTGAGCAGAAAGCAAGGGAGACACCGACACCCCAAGCAAACCCAACATGAGCGCACCATGTGCTAGCGCAGCGCCCCGTCGCTGGTCACCGACCTGGAAGCCGGGAACCAGCAAGCACTGGAGGGACCGCCGGAAAAGGCACAGCCCCCTGGATCTTGGCGAAAGGGTCGTCACCGTTGGCGCTGCTGACGCGAACGACGGACGCCATGCGCATGGCAAGCTGGCGGGCGGCGAGAGGGGGGAGTGCGCCCGAGCTCCCAAAAGACCCTGCGCATCCGCCGAAACACTTGCTTCTAACCATCATCACTTCTGCCGTCCTTGTTCTCTTTCTACCCACCGACGCCCATCACCGAGTGCCACCAGCACCACCACTGCTGTCACCACCACTACTGCCTCACACTCAGTCGCTGCCACGGCCGCAGACGCTATTACACCAGCGTGGCTGTGCCAGCCAAGACCACCAGAGTCACCGCCAGCACCACTGCCATTATGTAGCACCCCGCAGTTGCAGATAAGAGTGAATGGGCGGGCGCTGGGAAGGTCGCTGGTGGGTCGCGGGCAGGTCGCGGGCGGGTCGCGGTTGGGTAGCGGGTGTGTCGCGGGTGGGTCGCAGGGTTGGTCGCACGGGGTCGCGAGCGGATCGCGAGCGGATCGCGGGCGAGGACGACGACAACAAGCAACAATCAACAAACAATACGCAACGCAAACAATAGCAAGAGCAACAACACCATCAACATCACCAACACGAAAACCAACAGTAGCAACAACACCAACACCAACACCAACACCAACACCAACACCAACACCAACACCAACACCAACACCAACACCAACACCACCAACAACAACAACAATTACAACAACACCAACAACGACAACGACAACGACAACACCACCACCACCACCACCACCAACAACAACAACAACACCAACAACAGCAGCAGCAGCAGCAGCAACAACAACAACAACAACACCAACACCAACAACAACAACAACAACAACAACAACAACAACAACAACAACAACATCAACACCAACACCAACACCAACACCAACATCACCAACAACACCCGCATGTTACCCTCACGCGCGATGTTTCCACACGAATCATGCGACCATCATGATAACCATCCCCATCATGGGGGACTATTGTTCTAGAGCAGGGTCCGTTATTCCCATTCCCAGATCACCCGCCCAGTGAGGTCATGCAAACACCTCCTCCGAGGATTTCAACATGTCCCGCCTCGGAAACGCATGCCCGAGCCTTGCTGCGCCGATGCGAGACCGCCAGTGGAGCCCCAGCCAAGGGTAAAGCACAAGGAAGTATCGAGCGACAGGTTTGCCTTGGTGGGGGATGGGGGCTGTCGGCGGCGAGGCAAGGACCTGGCCTTGAATAGAAAGGCAGGAAGTCTCGAGCAGCGCCGCTGTTGTTGCTGGGAGCGGCGCCAATGCTGAAGAGAGTGGGGCGCTAGTCCAGCGTTTAAAACAACGGAGTCTCGAGCGGGAGCGCTGGTTTTGCTGGGACGGCGGTTGTCGGCGGCGAGGAGGAACACGGTCTTGAGTAAGAAGGGAGGAAGTCTCGAGCGGGAGCCGTGCTTTTGTCGGGACGGTAGCTGTCACCGGTGAGGAACAGCACCGTCCGGAAGAAAAAGGGAGGACGTCTCGAGCGGGAGCGTTGTTCTTGCCGGGAGCGGCGCCAATTTAAAAGAGTAGGGCGCCAGTCCAGCGTTAAACGGGAGGATGTCTCGGGCGGGAGCGCGGGTTTTGTCGGGACGACGGCTTTCGGCGGCGAGGAGGAGCACCGCCTTGAATAAAAAAGGGAGGAGGAACTCTCGAGCAGGAGCGTTGCTCTTGCTGGGGGCGGCGCCGATGAGAGAAAGAGTAGTGCGCCAGTCCAAGGTAAGACGGGAGGAAGTCTCGAGCGGTAGCGCTGGTTTTGTTGGGACGGCGGCTTTCGGCGGCGAACAAAAGCACCAGCCCTGAGTAAAAAAGAAGGAACTCTCGGGCGGGAGCGCTGGTTTTGTCGGAATGGCGGTTTTCAGCGGCAAGGAGGAGCGTCGCCTTGAATAAAAAAAGGAGGAGGAACTCTCGAGCGGGAGCGTTGTTCTTGCTGGGGGCGACGCCGATGAGAGAAAGAGTAGCGCGCCAGTCCAAGGTAAAACGGGAGGAAATCTCGAGCGGTAGCGCTGGCCTTGTTGGGACGGCGGCTTTCGGCAACGAGCAAGAGCACTGGGCCTGAGTAAAAAACGAAGGAAGTCTCGAGCGGGATCGCTGTTGTTGTCGGGGGGTAGCAATAACAAGAGCAACGACACCATCAACAACACCAACAAGAAAACCAACAACAGCAACAACACCAACAACACCAACAACAACCGTACCAACACAAACAACAACAACAACAACAACAACAACAACAACAACAACAACACTTTACCCGAACGCTCAGTGTTCTCACCAGTGCCAGGGTTTTCATGCGACGCCAGCCAATACCCCCACTTTGTGGGGGGGCAGTGCAAGCTCTACCAAATATCCACACGACTCTTCGCCACCACCCACACCCAGCTTCCCGCCCTATGACGTTCGGACACTTCACTTCGTGGCCTGCGGACGACCGTGGCTACTACACTGGCGTGGAGTACACACCCACAGAAGTTGTTAGGACAGCGCGCGCGGGTAGAAATTTTGAAAAGTCGTGCAGGATGTTTTTCGAGGACCTACGGTGCGATTCGTGTGATTTTATGATGCGCGGTGCTAAAATTCTTAAGAAGCCCAATGGTTTTTGGAGATTTCGGCGTGCGCGCGCGAAGAAAAAACGAATGTGTCCCGCATGGTATTATTTGACAGGGATGATGGCCCTGGCAGGTGCGCAACCGTTGTCGCAGAAGTTCGAAAAAGTTGCTCGCAAAAGCCCGTTTGACAAAATGTTTAAAAAGTGTTGGGTTTCCTACGAATCCGCAAGAGCGCGCGGGATGAGATTTTGACATTTTTTTGTTGAAAAACCATTGGTTTTTTGATGTTTTTATGTTAAAATCGCTCCGAACACTAAGCTTTTGGAAGGATTTCGTCTTGCGCGCGCGAATGTCCACTTTACCTTATTTTTTGGAAGGGATTCTTGAAATTTGATTATATTAGAACAAGAAATGTCATTTTATAGTGTTTTTTGCAAGGGAAAACGGATTACAACAAAACAACCGGATCTGGACCCCATCCACTTTTCTGAAGCTTTCGCGAAAAAATGATGAAAATGTAGCTGCGGCCTAGGCCGGCGGGGGGGCCGTGCACCAAGGGTCCAACAATATTATTCTTTAGAATTAATAATGTTCAACCCCAACAACAACAACAACAACAACAACAACAACAACAACAACAACAACAACAACAACAACAACAACAACACCAACAACAACAACAATTACTCGCACGTGGGGACACTCCGTTCTCACCAGTGCCAGGGTTTTCATAGGAGGCGGGCAATACCCCCACTTTGTGGGGGGGCCGGTTCAAACTCTACCAAATTTCCAAACGACTCTTCGCCACCACCCACACCCAGCTTCCCGCCCTATGACGTTCGGACACTTCACTTCGTGGCAAGCGGACGACCGTGGCTACTATTCAGGGCCCCGCGGCCGACGACGACGGCGTGCGCGCGCGAAGAAAAAACGAATGTTCCCGCATGGTATTATTTGACAGGGATGATGGCCCTGGCAGGTGCGCAACCGTTGTTGCAGAAGTTCGAAAAAGTTGCTCGCAAAAGCCCGTTTGACAGAAATGATTAAAAAGTGTTGGGTTTCCTACAAATCCGCAAGAGCGCGCGGGATGAAATTTCGACAATTTTTTTTTTGAAAAAACCACTGGTTTTTTATGTTTTTATGTTAAAATCGCTACGAAAACTAAGGTTTTGGAAGGATTTCGTCTTGCGCGCGCGAATGTCCACTTTACCTTATTTTTTGCAAGGGATTCTTGAAGTTTGTTTATGTTAGAACAAGAAATGTCCACTTTAGCTTTTTTTTTGCAAGGGAAAGCGGGCCGTAACAAAACAACCGGATCCGGACCAACCCGTTTTGCCTGAGACTTCCTCACGAAAATGATGAAAATGTGGCTGCGGCCTAGGCGCGGCGGGGGGGTCGTGCACCAGGGGTCCCAACAATAATTATTCTTTAGAAGTAATAATGTTCAACAACAACGCAAAGACAACCTCCGCGGCCAACCTGGCGAGGCCCGGGGAAGTGCGCTCGCCCCCGGGGGAAGCGCACACACCTGGGCCGGTGCTGCTGCTGTTGCCCCAGGGGAAAGGGGAGAGCAACGCGCAACGTCTCTGTGGTATTCCCTCATAATTTGTACAGAGCGTCCATGTGCCACAGAATCTGCGAGGACACCCCTACGTACACCAACGTGTTCCTGCCTGCGGATCCGGCCTATCGTGGCCGCTGGCGCAGCAAACTTCTGGGGCTCTGTAGTATGAGGATTCCACGGGGGCGGACTCGTGTGGTGTCCTTTACGTTTCCGATGGGATCCCTAAAGAGACCCCTGTGGGAGCCCTGTGGGTTCCCATAGGTTTCCTCTGGGATCCTTACAGAAACCCATGGGAGCCATATGCGTTCCGATGGGTTTCCTGTGAGATGCCTACACAATCCCCAGGGGAGCCGGTCCCATGGGTTTCTCATGGGATGCCTACAGAAACCCATGGGCGCCTTATAGGTTCCTATGGGGTTCCTCTGGGATCCCACAGTACCCCATGGGAGCCCTATGGGTTCCTATGGGTTTCCTCTGGGATCCCTACAGTACCCCATGGGAG